TAACAAGACTTACCTCAATTTGGTCGAGAATATCGAATTATATCGAAATTTGTTCGAGACGGTCGAAAAATACCGGCTTTTAGTCGATAAAGTCGAAACATAAATCGAGCACCTCGGCCCAAGTATAACCCATAGATTTCATTAATACACGAAGTTTGAATGGTGAATGCTGATGTTTGACTGACGATTTGCTAAGAAAATTACATAATTTGTTGAAATGTACTGTTGCATATCCTTGAGTTGTCACCTTTCTAATATTCATTATCAATTTCTGCGAGCTATTGACAAATTTTTGTCAAAACTCTCTGTTGTTTTTTGTCAAAAGAGGTATTTACCGCTTGTAGACTGGAGGTATACTGTAAAATGGAGTCGCAATTTAGTCTGAAGATGAGTTGCAATAGTGTGGAAAAAAGTTGCGGCAGTCTGGGCCTAAGTCGCGGAATTGCAAAATATGATCCCAGAAAAAACTCATTGAGCAATTTTTGGAAGTGAAGGTTTCTAGTTGTAGTGATTACTAAGCACAATGATTAGGCTTCAAAATTCTGAAAATTTTGAGCTGAATTGTCTAACAGAAGCCTTTAAATAGCTAGCTACAAGGAATTGAGTTGTAACTAAAAGTCGCGCCCTTTGCGGTTAAATTGTCTTCGTTCGTGTCGGTAGCGGTTATTGTTTTTGTCCGAACCGATTGCGGACCAATTTTCCTGAGTTGCGCCGGTCACGGACACATCTTTTTGGGCTACAAAGTGTGAGACACCAAGTTTTGATAATGACAGTTTGGAAATTCACAATTTTGCTACATTCTGGAAATACCAAATAGTTTTTTGGTCGATGTAAAACAATTTTAAAGAAAAATTTATTTTTAAATAAACGAGAGGAGGGTGTAGAAAAGTCATAGTTTATGCACCACGGAACTACCCGAGTCGAGGTGCTTGGCTTATGTTTCGACTTTGAAAATCGAGCAACTGCCGTTTTGCTACTAAAATTCCGCGGCCGAGAAGCAATTTTAAGTCAAGCACAAAGTCAAATTATACCCAATTTGGGTCGAGAGTCGAAACATATCCAAATTGGGTCGAGAAAATTAAAACAAAGGTCTAAAAAATCAAAACATAGACCGAGCACAACCAAAACATACCTGATTTTGGCCGAGAAAGTTGAAACATAGTTCGAGCACAATCAAAACATAGTTCGAGCACAATCGAAAGATAGTTCGAGCGCAGTCGAAACATAAATCGAGCACAGTCAAAACAGCCGTCGAGCACAGCCAACCAAAACATAGATCGATCAGGTTTTTCTTGAAAATTTTGGTACCGTTTCCTCAAACCGACAATATCAAAGAAATATCAACAAAAGGGGGGAAAACTTCAGGCGCAATAGAAGCCGTCTCGTTTTCTGAGTTCTCTGATTGATATTGAAACTATCAAATGCAATATAAAAAAAATTAAATTTTCATGTACGAAATTTGAAATAAAAGTTTAAACCGGATGCGTTTTCACTGAGAGACCAAGAAAGTCTTTTCAACGGTTTGGTGCAACCACAGCCGACAAAAAAGCGAGTAAACCCATTTTCCCATTTTTGGTCGAGAAATTCAAACATATCTATGCGGGGTCAAACAAATAAATTTTTAAAAAAGGTGGGTCGAGACAGTCGAGTTTTGGTCGAAAAAGTGTAAACATATCTGAACTGGGTCAAGCAAAGTCGAAACATAACAAAATTTGGCCCAGAATTCGAAACATATCGAACTTTGGTCGAAAATAACAAGACTTACATCAATTTGGTCGAGAATATCGAATTATATCGAAATTTGTTCGAGACGGTCGAAAAATACCGGCTTTTAGTCGATAAAGTCGAAACATAAATCGAGCACCTCGGCCCGAGTATAACCCATGGATTTCATTCAAAATATTTCACCCGGGTTGAACTCCATTGACCAAAAACGCTTATCATACAATTCCATAAACTAAATCTATGAAAAATACTAATCATACAAATTTCATACATTTTGCTAAAGTGGTGTCATTGAATTTTTGAGGAGTTTTTTTCATGTTTCGGCATAAAATTCGGTTTATCGTACTAAATAAAAATGGAAAACTTTTTTAAAAAATGCTAATCATACTATTTCCATATATGAAAATTGTATGACTAGCAGGGGGGACTAGGATTTTCTCGAGGGGGTCGGACTTTCAAAAGATTTTCAAACGATTTTCTGAGCTCTCCTAAATCACTGATTTTCTGAGCTCTCCTATAAAGACCCCTCCTGACCAAAGTTGCTGCGTCGCAGGCACAATTTTGAAAAAAAACAGGCCAGAAATGGCATTTTTAGGCAATTTTTGGAAAGTTTTAACCAAAAATTTGCGTTTTTTTGGCGCGCGTTCATTCCCCTTCTCCCCCCCCCCCCTCAAAAGTAATATATATTGGCGCCTAGGGCGTCATGAGAAAATTTTACGGTCCATCACCAAAAACGGATATCTCAAAATAGTACAAAGGGGGAGGACCCTTTGGGTCGGCAGGCGGTCAAATTCCTGAGGAGGGATGTCCCAAATTTTCAAAACAATCATCACTGAAAATTTTTGCCAAAAATTAAAAGTTTGATACTTTTGTTATATTATTTGGCTCTTTTTCCTTTTCCCCTCACCTGCAAAATTTTTGGAGTCATTTTTCTGTTCAAATTGTCGGATTGTTACAAAATTTGGCATACTGATTAGGACATGACAAACATATTTGGTCTTCATAATCAACCTTGTAAAACCATGCGTTACACCAAAAAATCGATGCTTATGTGAGGTGGGGGAAAAAGGAAAAAGAGCCTATTATTTGTGTAAGACACAATTACGACATTTCAAGCCGTGTCCAATGCATTATTTATAGGAGACGGTGAAACCTTAGGTTACTCTACGTTTGAGTAACAAGGTTTTTGTCTCTTGCGTTCGATTACCAACACAACCAAAAATTTTCGAATAATTAAAATGTAAAATAACAATATTTTTGATTTCTGAAAGTAGACTAGTCATACAATTTCCATATATGAAAAATTACTAGTCATAGACCTTTCATGCAATTTTCTGTACTTATGGAATTGCATGAAAAGTTTATGATTAGCAATTTTCCATATATGAAAAATGTATGGCTCTTTTCCAGTCCCCCCCCCCCTTTCAAATTCAATACTGAAAAGTCTATTTAACATTGTCATAATGCAATGAAATTGGCGTGGTGAACAAATCGACAATTCTGAACAGATTTGTTCTTCATACTTTACAGCGTAACATCACGCATTTAGCCGTAATAACACGTAAAACAAACATAAAACTCGGTATTTTGAAAGGGGGGAACTGGAAAAGAGCCAAATGTATGATCAGCATTTTTGGTCAACCCGGGCAGTTTGTTAATTTAGCTGAACATTCATCAAATATAACCCGACTGAAAGCAGAAGGTTTGCTCTTCAGACCTCCTCACCCCAATAGACAACAAAATTAAGTCCAAAAACACCGAAATTTGGTCGCGATATTCTTATCATAAAAAAGCAAACCTTTGCGCAAGATGACCGTTTGGCATATCGCTCATGAAAAGGGGACACCCGGGTTCGAACCGAGGACCTCTCGATCTGCAGTCGAATGCTCTACCACTGAGCTATATCCCCATTGATAGAAAGCGAAACATTGCAAGTTTGGAAATTAGTCGCAAGAACCATCAATTGAAACCCTACTGATTTGCAGAAATTTGGGCTCTTTTCCAGTTCCCCCCTTTCAAAATACCGAGCTTTATGTTTGTTTTACGTGTTATTACGGCTAAATGCGTGATGTTACGCTGTAAAGTATGAAGAACAAATCTGGGCTCTTTTTCCTTTTCCCCCACACCTGCAAAATTTTACAAGTAAAACTTTTGTTCATATTGTCCGATTGTCATGAAAATTGACACGTAGACTAATTAAGCCTTGACAAACATATTTGGTCCTCATCATTAACCTTGTAAAATTACTCGTTACACTATAAAATTCATGCTCGGGAGGGGGGAGGGCGGAGGTGTGAGGGGGGAGGGCGGAGGTGTGAGGGGCGAGGGCGGAAGTGTGAGGGGGGGGGGGGGGGCATGAAGATCAGTTTCAGCATGCAACCAATTTTTTTTAAATTATATTAACAATGTGATATCTGAAGACCAAATGTGCATGCGAAGAAATTTTTGCAAAACAAAACGGCAAAGGGTGGAAATGGAAATAAGCCCAATACTTTAATATTCAAAAAGTACATATTTGCATAACCATTAGACTACTTGATTGAAAATCTTAAGACGGTTTGATAATCGATGATTGGGGAGCGACTCTTCTATCCTTTACCTTCATCAAGTTTTAAAAAAATTCATTCTGAGCATATTATATGTTCATATAGATCAGTATCGCTAACAAAAATGGTATTAAGACAAATGTTATGGGCGTTCTAAAAGAAGCTGTACTTTGTGTTTTTACGCGCGCGTCGAACGAACGCAATTATTCACTCAAACCTTCCAAAAAGTGGTCAAAAGTTTCATATCAAATGGTTAAAATTTCTTGCAAAACCGCCCCTTATAAACATTCGTGCGCGCAGCACTGCCTCAGCATCGATCTTTGGATCTTTGCTATGTCAATCTTCCGATTCTTGTAAGGACTGTTAGAGATGCCGCACACTTTTCAATAGCCGTTAGATTTTATGAATTGGTTCGCAGTATCTAAATTTCTAGCCTGGAAAGGGTTTTATAGTCATTGCTAAGAAATTCTGGAAAAACCGAGTTGCGGTAGTGACGGTATGTAGTCAGGGTTTCAGTCAATAAGTGACGTTCTGGACATATGTCGCGAACGTACTGGGTTTAAGTCGCAATTTTCCGAACACTGGCGCAACCATCGCGGCTCAAATCGTGACGTTGCGCGACTCAAAACCTAGCGCAACTGCGAAACTTTTGGCGCGCCATCAACTTCGCTCAGTCCTGTTCGGTCGCGCCTTAAACTGCAGACCTCGACATGGTTTTTGTGTTTTTAGCATGCTCGGGCGCTGTGGCTGTACTACATCTCGAAGATCATTGAGTTCATAGACACTGCCTTCTTCATCGTGAGGAAGAAGTTCACCCATGTCTCCTTTCTTCACGTCTACCACCACGCCAGCATGGCAGTCCTCATGTGGACCACCACCACTTTCTTCCCCACTGGAGACAGTCAGTACTATCTATATCTTTTCCGCTCGTTACATTTTTTATTTCCTCATTCTTAGGCCAATCAAATCAAAGTTTTTGAGATCTGCCGAATCCTCATGTGAAGTGAACACAGGGGCGGATTTAGGAAGGAAAGGGTGGGGGGGGGTTGATGGGGATTCAGCTCCCTCACCAACCAAAAAACGCCCCCTTTGGTATTATTTTTTGACATCGGTTTTTGGCCGACCAACCCTTAACTTTTGGAAAGTTTGATTACAAAAACTGCGCTTTTCCTCAAAATTAGAATATTGGCATCAGAAGCACCATTACAAAAGTTTAGGGTTGGTCAGCCATAAAGGGCTCTCGTAAATTAGTACCAGAAACAGTTGGCAATCAAAACTGAGGAGAGGGGTTCGGAGAAGATTTAATAACAAACAATAATCAAAACTAAAACTTTCCTAATGATTTTCCTAATTTACCAATTTTCAGCTGAGTTCACGAAAATGAGTTTCATTTATCTTTCGACGATATTTTTGTTTCATAATGGTTCATAATAACTGTTTTTTTTTGAAATTTTTTTTTCATTTCAGATTTTCAGATAAATATAGCCTTCCCATGTAGTGCTTGTATTACTGGTGTAAAATAGAAAGGTATGTGTTTCAGCATTTGGACCGGTCCTATTCAACGTGGTGATCCACATCATCATGTACAACTACTACTTCTTCGCCGCCTTGGGACCCCAGTACCAGAAGTACCTCTGGTGGAAGAAACACCTCACCAAAATGCAGATCGTAAGTTGTTGTTCATTTTTGAATGAAGACCGAATTAAAAAAAAACTGAGTGCAGTCTTGCGAACGCGTAAAATTAAACTATCCGACCCGAACTAAAAGCAAAAAGAAAACAAAGGCTAATTTCAAGTTCTTTAAAATTTATGAATTTTATTCCAGCTTTGCTTGCCGGAAAATCTTTGATAGTTTGATCCCATATCTTTACGTAACATGGAATCTTATAGTATGGTCTTTTTTGTCCGTGGCTTTTATTGCTTGCGGTGTTTTGTGCCCTTTTGTTTCATCATGGACTCATTGTGTGTGTGTTTGGGGGGGTTAGGTTCAGTTCTTCCTGATCATCCACCACAGTGTGAGTGCATTGTACATCAACTGTAACCCAGACTACAACTTCATCTACTACTTCCTCTGCTTCTACATGACCTCCTTCGTCTGCCTATTCCTCCACTTCTACATTCGATCATACATCAGAGGATCGAATCCCAAGGATGCCACCACCAACAACATCGACAACAAAGCAACATCCAGTCTCGCCAACGGCTCCTCCAAGGACTCCAACGTCGGCAGCGTCCACGACAAGAAGCAGGAATAGAACAGTTGGATTTGGAACCAAGGTCCCAAAGAGACTCGCAGACGCCGGGATGTCAAAACACAATCAAATGATGAAAAAAAAAAGAAAAATTATCAAATACAACAGACAACAAAACGAACTCTTCACTATGACAAAATGATCATCATACTTTGACGTACAATCATTTGAACTCACGTCAAATAGCATTGCCTTATATTATAACAATAACATATACACTGATAACTTAATGAGAACATGCAAACTGTGTTTCTCGTTGCAAAAGATGACATCTTAGAATTCCCTGAGTTGGTATTGTATTGTAACTAACTGCAATATTGACTGAAACTAATTTGAAGACGGCAAATTTGAAGTCAACAAAAACATTCTGCAATCCCGTTTCTCTGTGTTTTCTTGATGTGAATTTTTGTCTCTTTTTGAATTATTTCAACGAATTCCATATTTGGAAGCAAAGTATTAGCTGCTTCATTATTCGATATAAACAATCTGAGTTTTCCGATGAACTCTTATTTAGCATCAGACAAAAAACTGACCAAGTAATATGGAATGTTTTTAATAATATTATTACCAATGTGCTTGTGATGTAATCAAATGTGTTCTGAAAATTGTTGAAATTCAGCAAACATTCTTTTTATTCTCAAAAATGAATTTTCGAGCTGCGTCGTCTCTTTTTTACTGCCCTGAAACGTTTTTTGTTTCTAACATTTTTTTAGTTATTCAACTATAACCCATTTTAGTCTGAGCTCGAAGTTTCTTTATAATGTATAGCATAATGGGACCATTTATAGCAGGCGACTATTTGTGACAGATGACAATTCGTAACATTTGAAACCATGTTTTGAAATAATTAGGTTAAGCAGCAAACATTGATTTACACAAACTAGAATGAATAATCTTTGCAAATGTAAACGCAGCGGAACAAGCATTTGCTATTTAACAATGCAGCGTTCAAAACTGGCTTCATCCAAATATTTTTTTTCTGAAAATCGTAACAAAAAACTACATCTGCCGGGCTAAAAGTCTGTGGGAAAAGTCGGATATGAGGAGTCTTGTTTTCTTTAGATTGTAACCCGTATCCGTTTTCAGATACTGTAGACTCTCAAAAACCTAGAAACCCAAAATATTTTATTTGTTAAAAAATAGAGGTCAATTTTTGTCAGTCTGTTAATGTGGAACCTGATCTAAACTACATTTTATGATTGGATAAATTAGATATTTTACCACTGTAAAGTATTTAATATTAACCAATCATGATCCATCTAACTAACAACCCACTTATTTGTAAGTGCTGAAATTACTTGTAATTTCAGCACCAGAGAGATTTGAATTTAACTTAGAAATTAGTTGACTCTCCAAGAAGACTTCAGCAACCGCAATAAACCAGTATACCCTAGATCTATTGAGCCTAGCAGAGACTAGTTAAACAACCTGAGACTAGATAGTATAAGAGTAAGATTAGGATTGGTATTAGACTAAGAAGTTGCACGAATCTATCCGGCCGAAAATAAGATAGCGTGACGAGCAGACGGTGTACCCTATCCGAAATTACTCTATGAGTTATACACCTCGGTCATAACTCATCTGGTGCGACCATAAGTCTCGAACAAGACCTTAATAGCTTAGAATTAACCAATAATAGATTAGAATTTAGACAAAACATTTACAAAATGTTATACGACAATAATTTAATCGAAATGTCTCTACGACTCAATAGATCAGAGCCAATATTCCGAACGATAACAGAACTACCCGGAATTGCAAGAAGACCTCGAACCAGAGACGACATACGACAAAGTAGAAACTTACCATATAGTTATATGATAGTTCGGCAAAAGCCAACACAAACTTTTGTATTTAGAATATTACTAGCAATGAATTTAGATTTTCATTTGCAAACATAAAATCTTGAAGTCAATCTTCAAAATCATTTCAGGCGCTAAACCAAATTATTAATATACAATAACGATTGATAAGGAGATCTCAGATCGTTTTCCTAAATTCTGCAGTAATATACAAAACATGTTTGAAAAATATTTATTGAAAAATCAAAATGAAAATTAGTAGCATGACAATAAATGGTTAGTAATTATAAATCATCCTGTTGTTCCAGCTTCATCACCTAAACATAACAGCATTCATAAGCTCACTAATATCATAAAAACACTAAATCTTTTCTCTACACAAATTTAAATCATTATTAAAACTTAAATTCACTTAATTTTAAAATCAGATCATCAAGGCTTATCCTTGGATCTTAAATCATTTTCTACTTAATTAAATTTAAAACTTGATCATCAAGGCCTATCCTTGGATCAAAAAGAACAACCTTGTTCTCCCCCACCCACTTAACTAGTGTCTAACGACCTCAAACGTCGATTCACTACCCAACCCTTTCTAAAAACCCAGGACTAATAGAAATTTTTAAACAAACTAATCATTCAAATTAGGATAAACAGTGAAGAACTTCGGTTATTCATCCTTCACTTGATCCCCCCTCTTACCAGACCCAGGATAAATCTTAGACTTAGTAAGTTTTAAAATAGTATCTAACGAACTACTCGCGTTCTAATTATACCTGAACCTTGTGGATCGATTTACTATTCTCCAACCCTTGAACACAATCACTACCCCTAAGTAAGATTAAGTAAGTTAACACCTTAGCTTATACTAGCCACGAGAAAGTAAAAATCATTCTTCGGAATCGAATTACTTTTCTCTCCAACCCTGAACAAATAGACCCAGGTTAAGTTAACCAAAAAATCGTAAGGACTAACAATTTAAGAAAATAGAAATCATCTAACAACTTTTTGCATCCGTCATCCTAAACCTTATGTGATTTAAAAATCTAGGAAACAAACAAACAATCGTTTTGCACAACTGTGAAATAGATAACAAAAAATACGACCTTGTAATCACACCTCACACACAAACAGTTGGATATATCAGAACAAAACGACAAACACTAAAAAGAAAAATAATAACCAAACAAAGACAAATTACACGAAAAAGATTTTCCAAAAACCGCAACGCATTTTCTGAATCAGAAACCAGCAGTTTAGACGAACTTTATAAATTAAAGGAATCTATAGATAAAAATTGCCCCATTCACGATCAATTATATTTTTCCGACTCAGAAACAACTTCAAATTCATCAAAAATAGGAAAAAGAAGAATAAAAAAGCAATATAAACACAAACCAGTACATTTATACAATTGGAACCAACCAATTAGACACATTGATAATTACATATTAACAGTCATCAAACGAAAAAATGAGCTCAACATACACCCCAGGTGAAGAAAGTCCAGATGATGATGATATCTTCCCCTTTATCGTAGATGCAACCACTGATAGAGGACAGCATATATTTTGCAAAAATTTACTCTTAAATTTGTTTGAACCCAGAATCAGTCCATGTAAAACAGAGTTCCCAGATGTAAAAATCAAAAGACAAATTATCGATCACTATTTGAAAGATATATGTAACTTAACACAACAATACGGAATCTACTCCATAGAATTCAACTCACCAAACCAGAATCACAGCAAATATGTAATTCAAACAGACGACCTTGATTTAGAATTCTCAAAAGTATTCTCAGAATATATAAAAAGGTTCCAATATCATAACTCACAAAGAGCAAACTCCATATTCACCAATGAAGTTTTTGCGATAATATATAGTTATATCTCGATATTAGAAAACGAAATCCAGATACCAAATGTCTCACCGACAGAAACATCTAAACATATAAGAGTACGACATGAAATCACACTACTCTCTAGTTTTCTAAATATAATTAAAGAAAATTTCACGAAAGATGAAGTTTCACAACATACAAAACACGACTTACAAAAAATTTTGGCATGGTTCATAATAGATTATTTCACACATAATATTGATTTAATTTCACAAGCAAGAAAAAATTTTAGACCCCAAAACTCAAACGATGATACTGCCATCACAGAACAATCAGACTATGTTTGGGACCCCGAATGGTTTCATCCCGCATTCATAAACTTCCCACAATCAATCTCAAGTCAAGCAATAAGTACGATATCTTATGTAAGAGATTATGTAAGAGTAATACCATTAACCATTGATGCAACACCATTAAACTATAATACATTTTTACCTGATATGCAAAATAATAGTTTAAACTCCACAGTCATACACAATGAAAACCTCAATGGAACTAGAAACCTCACTCAACAAGATATCCAGACACCATCACACTTCATAAATGAAGAAATCGTACACACAACAACTACACAACAAAGTATTTCACCAATACGTCCAAATTTAACAACACCAAGAAATACAAACCCTTCACAAACACAAGTAACCTTACAATCAACCGTTAAACCTTCAGTTGCCCCAAAATATTCACACATGGATTACCAAACATACAGACCCATGACAATACCGCCAAAAACACGCAAAACGTTCACTAGAAACAATTTTACAGACCATAATTATAATTACACACATCCATCAAAAACAAATTATCAACCACGAAAAAATTTTAGTAATTATACAAGATCTCGAAACTGGGATAACCCAATGGCACAAACTAATTCAGTAAATTTTCAAACAAATTTACATCCTTCACAGGATCGTAGTGAAAACTATCCATTTTTTCAACAAAATAAAAAAAAAAAAAACATCTTATCAAATGGATTACTTATCCTCAGATGATGATTTTTTACAACCAGATATATTTGCACCCTATAATCAAGAATATCGTGGACAAGGAATACAGAAACCACATACATATCATAGAATTTTTTCTCCACAACCAATAGATACACAAAATCAACAACCAATTCAGCAACAAAACCCAATTAATACACAATCTTTTCAACCAATTCAGCAACAAAACCCAATGATCACACACTCATATCAACCAACACAAATGTAAAATGAAATACCACTCCCATATTATCTTCAACAACACGAAATAACAAGAAATCAACTTTCAAATTTTTCTCAAATACCAAATGCAGCAGAATCATTACAAATGACAATGAATCCATACCTTATGGGTGGATCATCAATAACATCAAATAAACCTTTAATGGTATTCACAGGAACAGACCCTGAAAATTCTGTAGAAGACTATTTAAATGCAGTAACAGCAAATTTGATTTTAAATATAGGACCTGAACCAATTAATACGCCACTACATCAAAACTGGATACATCGACGCACAGCGTTGATACAAACAACTTTAGACGGCGCAGCCCAAAAATGGTTTTCAGTATTGCCTATAGAAATAAAATCAAATTGGAAAAGGTTTACACAAGAATTCTCAAAAATGTTTGACTCCGAAAGAAACAAACAACAACAAAGAGTTTTATGTAATGAAATTCGCAGATTACCAAATGAAACCATCAAGCAATTAGCAGTACGCATCAAAACACTAGTTCGAAAAGCATATTCATTAAATACACACGACTATAAAAACACAAAGATGACAGAAATCTTAATGATGACCTTAACACCGCAACTAAGAAAAATAGCAATAAAAAAGAGAGCATCCCATCCTTCTTCAATTCGAGAACCCAATTTAGATTTTCGAAAACTAGTAGACAAACTAGAACAAGCAGAAATCACAATGAAACTC